TGTGCTAGCACATCATTTGTTGATTGAAGTGATATACTGGCTTTCCTCTGTTAAGTGGACAGTCTCTATTCTTTTAGTAAATCAACCCCTTGTCTTTTTATACAATGATTTTATTGAAGTGCTTGCACTAGTTCTCCACAGCTGGGACAGAAACTGGCACAACTATATTTACAGGCAAAAAGGGGACCTTCATACAACCTTAGTATTTGTGCTTACATTCACTTTAATGCTATGACAGAATGACAGTGAATTTACTCTGAAATAAAAAAAAAATATACACTTACTCTATTCACTAATGATGTATGATGGAAATTCATATGTGGTTATAATTTAACTAAAATATATATAAACCAACAAAAACTAAATTTAGATAGTTTTTTAAGTATAGCAAAAATAAAAGCTTTAAAATATTTTTTTTATTCATATTCAATATAAAATATTTCAATATGTAACATTAAAAAAGCAGTTATAAATGGCAATGAATAAAAAAAAACAGAAAAAGAGAGAGAGAAAATAATAAGTAATTTGTATATGTTTTGTAATAATAAAGTGTCATGATAAAAAATGCAATTCATCTACAATATGAAATATTTCAATATGTAGCATTAAAAAAGCAGTAAAAGATTGTCATTAATAGGGGAAAAAAAAGAGAGAAGAAAATGATAAGTATTTCTTATATGTTTTGTGAATGTAAAACATATCATATGGATCGGTAGATAAGCCCAGCTAACCAAATAAGAAACCGTTCTGCGCATCAATATTTATATATTTCTTTGCAGATGAAATATTCCATAGAGAGTCATCATAATCTCTTCGGGTTTATGTTTGTGATATTTTTTTAACATATTATTTTTTGAAAATGAAATACTAAATAATTACCCAAAGGCATTAAGGTAACATTCTAAAGGAAACCTGTGCTGAAACACAGTCATGGCCAAAAATATTGGCACCCCTGCATTTGTGTCAGATAATGCATCACTTCGAGCAGTAAAGTGTCGCAATGACAAATGTTTGGGCATTCTTGGCCAGTCCATTTTTGGAGTTTTGTGTGGAATGTGTCAGATTTGGCTTTTCTTCCCTCCACTTTTTTGTGTCATACCAATACAAACAAAAGAAATAAACATGAAACTAAAAAAAGAAAAAAAAAGAAATGCAGGAGTGCCAATATTTTTTTTTTTTTTAATCAGATTGTTTTTATTAAACATTTTTGGTGCAAACAAAAAATCAGTACAAAGGAAATCAGATCCAAAACAAAATAAGGTAAAATAAAGTAAAAAGAGAGGTGTACATACAACCGCTAACAGCGAGCCGACGATCCAACAGCCGCCTTGGAGAAATACATACCACATGTGTAAACAATACAACTAACCCATATATTCGTTACATCACATCCATCCCCCGCATAACAGTATAGTTCAAATACTCCAGTTACCCAAAACCGGCCGCAGAGCAGAGTGGTCCATTTGACTCGTTCACCCAAGCGTATCCCGTCCCCGGTATAACAGCCAGTCAGCCCACATAGCGTTAAACTTCTTCAGGTTACCTCTCTGCCTGCAAGTAACCCGTTCAAACTCCACCATCCTGTCCAATTCACCCATCCAGAGATCCAGCGTGGGGGTGGGGATGAAACCCACTTCCGCACCACCAACCTGGACGCAGTAAATAGGGCCCTTTTAATGGCCACCGTCGTGTGGGGGGCGACCTCCGGTGCTTCCAATATACCAAGGAGGCAAACCTGAGGGGTATTAACCAATGCACATCCAAAGACCGCGTTAATGACCTCCAGTACCTTACCCCAATACCTCACTAGTTTGGGGCATCTCCAGAGCAAGTGGATTAGAAAGCCCTAGTGATAATTGCACCTTGGGCAATTGGGATCAGCCCTTTTCCCCCAATCGGCACAGAAATTCGGGCGTGCGGTAAATTATGTGGACGATGAAGAGTTGAGTCAGTCTGTGGGTAGGTGACATGGACACTTGTTCAACTCCCTGAAGAACCTCCTCCCAATCCTTGTCCGATATAGTGCCCAGGTCAGTCTCCCAACCCTCCCTGCACTTCAAAGGGTTAAGGAGGAGGTGACTGTACAGATAGAAAGTAACTCCCTTAGTGTGCGCAGCCAGAAACACAGCATCCAGAGTCGGAGTAGGAAAAAATTTGGGGGGACCAAGCTTAAACTGTGCCTTAAGAGCGTGCCGGACCTGAAGGAACTGGAATTGACATCTACGGGGAAGCCCAAAGGTAGTGGACAGGTAGTCGAAGGTGCACAGGTCCCCATCTGGGTAGTGCTGGGACATGGACAGCACCCCATTGCGCGTCCAGTCAATAGTGCCATGCAGTGGGAGAAGTTCAGGGAGCCTGCCATTTTGCCACAGAGGTGTATATCTAGTTAAATATTCCACCCCCAGCGCTTGTTTGGCAGAGTTCCAGACCTGTCCCATTAAACGTACCGTTGGGAGTGCAAAGTGTCTTTTAAGATACATGTCATTATCAAAATAACACAGGGGGTCCAGACCTTTAAATAGCTGCAGAAGAAGAGAGAAGGATATCCGATTCTGCCCAGGCCGCAAAATGTTGCAGCTGGGAGGCTACGAAGTATAGCCACGGGTTGGGCAGTGCAAGCCCCCCGTAGGCCTTTGGCCTCTGCAGGACTTCAAGTTGTAACCTGGAGGATTTCATCCTCCAGACCAGGTCCCTGAAAATGCTGCTGACCAGACGAAAGGTATTTTTAGGGATCTACAGGGGGGAGTTATGGATGATATACAATAGTTGGGGTAGCCAGATCATTTTAATCAGGTTCACTCTTCTTGCCACAGATAGCGGGAATTTGGCCCATGAGGTACGTTGAGATCTAAATTTCGCCAGAAGGGGGAGTAAATTCAGGGCAATGTAGTCAATGGGAAAAGCTGTTATCTGTATACCTAGCTAGGTAATAGCCGACTGGACCTGCAGATGAGCCAACTCAGGAGCCAGAGGCAAGTGGAGGGGGTCCAGAGGAAGCAGGTTGGACTTCTCCCAGTTGACAACCAGGCCCGAAGATTTGGCAAAAGTAGTGAGAAGGGACATAGCATTAGAGAGGGATGACCGTGTATCCGCCAGAAATAGGGGGGTGTCATCTGCATACAACACAATCTTTTCTTCCAGGGCGCTTCTCCTAAAACCCACAATGCCTGGAGACTCCTGAATCATGACCGCTAGGGGCTCAATAGCCAGGGCAAACAGTAAAGGGGACAGGGGACAGCCCTGTCTAGTGCCTAGCTGTAACTGGAAGGCAGCAGACAGGGAATCATTAATTTTTATTCTAGCAGAGGGGTGGTGGTACAGTAAACGGACCCATTTACAAAAGTTAGGACCAAAGCCAAAGGCAATCAGGACCGCCCACAGGTACCGCCATTCCACACTGTCAAATGCCTTGGCAATATCCAAAGCCAGCAGTGCTCTGGGAGCTGCATGTTCAAAAATACTCTACGTATATTTATAGCAGTGTATTTATGGGGGATAAATCCAGATTGATCTGAATGTACCACCGTAGCAATCTTTTTTGACAACCTAGCAGCGAGAACCTTAGCTAAAATTTTAATGTCGGTATTCAATAGAGAGATAGGCCTGTATGATTCCGGCAGCAGCTGACTTTTCCCCTTTTTTGGCAGAACAGTGATGGTGGCCTCATACATAGAAGCAGGGAGGATGCCTTCAATGAAGGCATTGTTAATAGTATCCAGAAGGGTAGGGAGTAGTGCCGTGGGATAGGTCTTATATACTTCAATAGGAAGTCCGTCCGGCCCGGGGGCCTTCCCGCTCGGGAGACTAGCCATTGCCAACTCCAGTTCCTCCATAGTAATGGGAGCCTCCAATTCCAATCTGTCAGCCACCGCAAGGGATGGTATAGGTATGTTATCTAAATAATCATCCAGCTCCGACTCAGGATAGTCCGTCCTCGTCCTATACAGGGAGGCATAAAATGTACTAAAGATGTCCGACATCCTCCCCTGATCTCAATGAGTGATCCCCAGCGGGTCAGAAATAACCCCGATATACGAGGTGGGTTGCTGTGCTCTAGCTAGATGAGCCAGAAGTTTACCTGCCGCATCCCCCTCCGCCCAAAACACCCGCTTAGTGAAAAACAGTTTGTTCTGAGATTGTGCTGTCAACAAAGTAGATAGGGGGCGCTGAGCCACCTGCCAGACGCCCTCAGTACCCTCACTGGGGCTGCTTATAAACACCTTTTCGCTATCTGCCACTGTCTGATAAGCCAAATCCAGTTCACGCCTAGACCTAGACTTAACAGAGCAGATATTCTTAAGCAATGCACCCCTGACATAGGCTTTCAATGTATCCCAGACCACACCCATGGGCGCAGAAGGGATATTCACCGACAGGAAGAAGGAAATATCGTTCTCCAGTGATGCATTATCTGTAAACAGTGTCAGCCAGTAGGGATGGAGACGCCAGGGAAGCATCGAGTGGGGCCTACCCAGAGAGAGTTGGACAGACATCTAGAGTGTATCTCAACTCGCGATGTGTAAGGCACCAGCTCTGACGTTCGCAGGGCGTAGTCAATCCGCGAAAGAGTGTTATGAGATTTGGAGTAGCAGGTATATTGCAGGTTAGCAGGGTTGGACAGTCGCCACAAATCCAGCAGCCCCATTTCCGAACATAGGTTACTAAACGGAGTGTTCTGGACAGGTACATTGGGTGAAGGTTGTGGAAACCTGTCCATGCCCGCATTCATGATGTTATTAAAGTCCCCCAACACCAGGACCGGAAGTGGCAGCTTATCAGCCAGAAACCGAGCAAGGTCTTTAAGTACATCACTGAAGAACGGTGGCGGAATGTATACAGAGGCAACAACACAGTTCAACTCATAAATGTGGCAGTGTAGGAACACATACCTCCCCGCAGCATCCACCCTCACCGGTGTGCAGGGGAACGGCAAGTTTTTATGAATAATTATGGAGACCCCCCTCGAGTAGGTGGAGTAACAGGAATGGTAGCCAACCTGGCAGAAACATCTGTTCAGGGTACCAGAGGTATCAGAGGTTAGATGTGTCTCCTGCAAACAGATAATGGAGGGATTACTACGCTGAATATGACTAAAAAAACAGATCTTCTCTTCACAGTGTCCCCCAGGCCTCTCACATTCCAGGAGACCAGATTAATTAGGTGATCCGGCATTTCAAAGACATGTCATGCATTGGAAAACATAGGCATATACAAACATGTGAGCAAAAATGTGTCCAACTGTGGCTGCACATTGTAGAATACCTCAAGTGGGAAAAAAAACAAACAAAAAAAAAACAAAACAGAAAAAAAATCCAGCAAACAAAAAAAAAAGAAAAAAGTAATTTAAGGAACAACAAACGGAGAAACCGGTAAAAACTGTCCACGCAGGGAAACCTTCGGGGAAAGGTAGCAGCAGCCCTGAACTCCAGGGACAACCCGGTGCATGTTGACAACAGTGACTCCATCAGGTGAATGGATGTCTAGAAACCTGGGAGCAAAGCTCCCCTCCCCACAACATCGGGGGCATATGGGCCACCTTGCGAGAAAAAACAAATTGTATGCTGCTTGTAGAGAACTGGAAGGAGCGCCAGAAGAAAAATAGCCTCAGGCGGAGAACAAGGCAGAGATGATCAAGTATCCGGACCTCGGCGGTGAGCAATCTTTTCCAGCCAGGATGAGGCCTGCGCAGGGTGATCAAAGAAGTGGGTCTCGCCGTTCGCCACCACACGGAGCCTAGCGGGGTAGATCATGGAATAAGCGAGGTGCAGCTGTTGCAGGTGTTTCTTCACTTCCTGAAACTTGGCTCTGCGTACTTTCACCTCCCGAGAGAAGTCAGGGAACAGCATGACCTTCGAGCCAGCCAGGGATAGTTCGCCCAACTGTCTCGCCTTTCTCAGTATGCGTTCCTTATCTCTGTAGTTAAGAAGCCAGATCAACAGAGGCCTAGGGGGGTTCCCAGGTGGCAGGGGACGTGACGGGACTCTATGAGCCCTCTCAACAGCAAACATGCTCCGTGAGGGCAGTCAATGCAGTGTTGGAGAGCAGAATACACATCAGCAATAGTGGGCTCAGCCGCCTTAAGTTTGGCCTTGGGGGGCTTGAGGCCTTCAGCAGCCTTAAATGCATTACTCACAGTCACCACAGGATCATACGGGCCCTCTGAGTCAGACATGTTGGGGTCTCCTATGGACTCTCTCCGGGAGCTGCGATCCCCTGAGTAGGTAAGCCACTGCTGTTTAGGGGTGTCCGGGTGGTGGGCAAAGCACTCCAGCCGTGCTGCAGGGTCCTTATTCATATCCCCAGCCACTTTAGTCGGGGTCCGGAGCGGGGCCTGTGAACCGCCACCGCTGCCATCTTGGACCGCGAGGCCACCCAGCTTGCCCTTCTCCTTCTTGGATATCTCCGCAGGTCAGTATGCCCTCTTACCACCTCCAAACAGCACCGCAAGGATCGGGGAACTAATCCTACAAGCCGGCGTGTTCACATGCACCACTGCCCCATATGTTTCTATGGCCATAGTAAGTATCCATGGTGGCCCCCATATACAACACATTGAGAGATTGGAGATGCTAAGAGAGGGATTGCATTGGGAGAATTATTGGTTATTCTCTTTTCAATCCTCCCGAATATTTCCATGCAGATTTGTTGTGATAAGCAGAGAATTACATAGTTTAGGAACCCAGAATGATTTTTGCAGATCAAATGAATCTGTAAGCAAATATTTAGGAGAATAGCAAAATTTTTAATCTTCAGGTGCGCCTGTGCATGTACATGGTTTTCAAGACTGTTTGCTCAACACTACTGAAAGCAGATATAAACCCGAACCAAAGGACATGTAAATTGTCAGTGTGGCTGAACTCCTGCCACCTTCTTAAAACCACCTTCTATCTACATGCACTCCAGTGAAGGCTGTGTGGCTAACATATACACTATTTCAAAATAAACTAAAGACAGAATATCAAAAATACTTACAAAAACAATGCTTGGAATCCTCACTAAATACTTTTCCTTGTCTGTTTTGCCATTGAGATAAATGCATTGGCTCATTGATGTCACACAGTGTAGTCCACAAGACTCCAACAACAGACTAGAACCCTTTTATATTACGGATATAACACAGGGTTCTTTAAAGCTAACCCAACAATTATTACTATTTTATTTTTTTTGGTTGAGGGGGTGAGGGGAAGAGGTTTAAGCCAAGAGTTCAGCTTTAAGTGAAAAAAATATTTTTGCAAGACCCTGTTTTATATCCGTGTTCCTTAGGCTGTATATTACAGGATTAAGCAGAGGTGTTATTACAGTATAGAACAGAGAAAGGACCTTCTTTATATTCGTTTGGTTTGGAAATAAATAGATGCTAATTAGTGACCCATAATATAGAGACACCACGGCCAAATGAGAGCTACAGGTTGAGAACGTCTTCTGCCTCCCAGTAACCGATGGAATTTTTAGGATGGTGAAGACAATATAAATGTAGGAAACTGTAATGATAGCAAAAGGACAAAGAACAAGGGGGATAGCCAGTAGCATGCTTTCCATTTCAACTACAAATGTGTCTGAACAGGACAGATCAAGAAGGGGAGCAAAGTCACAGAAGAAGTGGTCAATGACATTTGACCCAGAGAATTGTAAATGACTCATCGATGATGAGATCATCAGTATGATTATAAAAATAAATGCCCAAAGCAAAATAATTACTTTAACACAAAATAGAAAATTTATAACAGATGAATAATGTAAAGGATTACAGATGGCCTGATATCGATCGTAGGACATGACTGTAAGCAGAAGACACTCCAAGGCTTCGGAGGCCGTGAAAAAATAGAATTGAGTAAGACAGCTCTGAAATGTTATGGTGGTTCCTTCATACAATACCACACAGAGCATATTGGGTACAATAGAGCTGCTCAGTAAGATGTCTGAAAAGGCTAACTGAGTGAGAAAGAAGTACATTGGTGTTTGGAGGTTCTTGCTTGATGACACCAGTAGGATGATCTGCAGGTTTCCAAATAGGGTTATGCAATAGATGATTAGCAGTAGGAGAAATAATATGCTCTTTAGACGGTGAAGATTCTGAAAACCCAACAGAACAATTTTGGTCACTTGGCTGAAATTGCTACACTGCATATTCTGCCTTGGGTAAGGTAGCCACTACAAAGAAAAAGAGAAGTTAAACTGCACTTTCATTCAGATAATATTGTTGACTTACTATTTTCCTTTCAATAAATCTTTATTGGATTTTAACAGTGAGTAAGTACAATATACATTGGAATAACAAGGTACAGAACACCATCGTCAAAAGTCAGCTGGTTTGACACTGCAATACAAATATAATAGTAAGCATGTGTGGTGGTGGTTGGGGAAGGAAAGGAATCAGGGAACACAAAAACCAACCAATCAGTCACAGGGTGCAATATGGCTTCTGAAGCCATTGAGACCATAAAATATCACATATGTATGATTCTTATAAGAGAACATACGTTCATAAGAACATTGTAGGTTTGTCAATTGAATAACTTCAGAGAGGTTAGGAGGAGACGGTGAGAGACATTTTCGGGCTATTAATATTTTGGCTGCATACAGTATGTGTATGATAATAGATCTAGAAGAGGGAGGGAATACATTTAGGCCTATGTGGAGAAGCACTGGATGGGGTTGTGTTACCTGGTGAAATTGGGATATGAGTTGGAAAACCTGATTCCAAAAAGATTTACATTGCCAGAAAATATGCACCAGAGATCCTACCTCACCACACATTCGCCAGCAATGAGGGGAATTTGTGCTGGAGAATTTCACTAGTAGAAGGATTCCCTGTGTGAGGAGCAATGCGTGGCTTTGTAGGAGATCTGGATTGCTTGTTCCCATTGAGAATCAGATAAGGTGGTTCCCAATTCGTTTTCCCATTTAATCATATGTGAGGATTTTAAGAAATGGTTTGTGTTGCCTAAATAGTGCAATTACTATTTTCAGCAACTTTACAAGTCTGCCAGAATGATATGTTTCAGCAACATTTGTCTGAAACTCTGCGACCTTTTATCATAAAAAGCTATCCCTAAGCTCCAGTCCAGAGACTTTGCCATGGTTGAGATAATGTCATCAGGAAGCATTTTCTTCAGTCTCCTTCAACCCTGTTATTAACATTGTATCTTTATAGCAGCTGACAAGATGAGAGGTTGAAGATTAGGCTGTTTTGTGTCAGACATTTGTGAACAAGAACTGCACAAACGCCAAAATTTACATGACTGTGTCATCTCCGAGCCGGCATCACAGTCTAGTTACATAGTTACATAGTATTTGGGGTTGAATAAAGACATACGTCCATCAAGTCCAACCCATATAGGTCCACGCATCATCTCATTCTTAGGGATACTGGTATCCCTGGATATTACGGTCCCTCAAGAAATTGTCCAAACGTTTCTTGAGTTGGAAAAATCAGTTTTTTGCCTTGGCTCAGGCCTGCTACCATTTAGTTTTTAAAGGGACAAAGAGGAATACTTGTGTGAGAATCCACATATGAAATCTGTCTAGGAAGTAGATGGTGACCACGGATAAAAGGCTAGACAAAGATGGCTCTGTCCTTCTGGAGAGAAAAGCAAATTAATATACATTGACCCTTATTTGTTTAAAGTGACACTAACCTCTTGTGTTAAATGTTAAAAAAGGAATACAAGTACATTAACTATCAACAACAATGTATTTTAATGTGTATCACTCGGCTGTAGATCCTCCAATCATCTCTGAATTGGTGCTGACACTGTCCTTCCTTCTGGAGGGGGGCTACTTTTGTTCCCCATGGTCCCTGTGTGTGTTGTAAAGTAGCCACCGCTCCAAGCTCGCTCTCATAATGGACTACAATCTCAATACAAATTAGTCATCTAAACATGAGATTGTAAATTGAACATTCTTAATTACTTTAGTCAGAGAAGTGCTGATATTCATGCACTAAATATGAAAAATACTGTATACATTAGTATGCTAGGTCCACTTTAAATTCTCTTTCCCATTAACTGGATCTGCAATAGATGTTTCTATCTCCTTATATGCACATACAAGACTCTTAATTCAGCTATCAATTTACAAATCTCTTCTTTCCTTTCAAATCATGTGAAATAAAATTCCTTATGAAAGTCTCTATGGAACATGCGTTACTAAAATCCATCAACCCGTATCACCTTTTCTGTAATAATAATAGTTCCCGTCTTGTGTTTAATCTGCACCTGGCGGCTTGCTTTGAAAAAAAAAAAAGAAGTTGGATCGAGTGAATAGTACTTTATATTGTTTTCATAAATCCTGTGATATTATAATTACACACACCATGTCACCAAACCTCAGAGCTCATGTTTTACTACTCAATGAGTGTCAAAAACACTGCATTATCAACTGACCTGGCCTGACAACATTTTCAGCAGACAATATGCTCACACGCCAACAGATTTATTGAGTTCCTATGTTAATGACAACAACAGCAACAGTAATAATAATAATAATAATAATAATACTATGTGATTTCCAGTTGCCTAGCTATATAGTATATCCCAGCTCATACCTTGTTGTTTCCATACATATAAACTGCCCATGCTGTTATCTTGCATGTGTTGCATGGGTTGATTAGAAAATCAAGCTATAAGGAGATATAACTCTCTGTGTACCTATTTGCTGCAATGGCTGCTGTGCTTACAATGTATCTAAACTCAAGAACAAAAAATGTAATATAATAAACCTTAGTGCAGCAATCCTTAGACGTGGGGGCTGCATTTGTTTTCTTTTATACAGCCTTGTTTTCATTTATTTTTACCTAGAGATCTGGCCAGTAACACAGTTCCCGTCCCCGTGTAACAATGTTCAGTCACCATCTATGGAGAACACACGCCATCCACAGGAGTACAGACCCAGCCACAGGATTTAATGTATTTATTACAGGAATCTATATATTGCTGACAATTTACACAGTGCTTCACATAGTGCACATTAACATCAGTCCATCACCACGAGGAGCTTGCAGTCTAAGGTCCCTATTGTACACACATACAGGGGCATGTTAGACAGGAGCCAATTTACCTTCCAGTATGTCTTTCGGTGTGTGGGAGGAAAACTGAGTATCTGGAGGAAACCAATGCAAGCACAGGGAGAACACACTCTTTAAGATAGTGTCCTGACCAGGATTTTTGAGCCAGGGACCCCCAGTGCTGCAAGGCAGAAGTGCTAACCACTAAGCCACTGCACTGCCCGTAATGAGGCTGGAGTTTATATATAAAAGATATAAAAGAAATAGAATTCTGCGCTCCTGGAGCTAACTAAATTGTAATTGATCCTAAAGCAGCTATGAGAGAAAGTGGATGAACCACCTTGATAGTAGATAAAAAGTAGAAACACAGCGCTAAAGGTTGACCAACTTATATAGTTAAATAATCAGTGGTTGGATAGGTTCTTAATGTGGTGAATTAGGTGTTCTCAAGTGAGTAGTTTGTGAGAAGAACTGCGTCTTCACACAGCCCGGGGAACGATAATTGTTAATAGAGTGTATGAAGAGGAAATTGGTGTGTGAATGCGTAAAAAACATCAATCCCCAATCAAAAATATGTCAAAAATAATATAGTATGAAACTATTATAACAAATAAATTGAGAAATAGTGAGAGTGATCGTAACGACCTTACATAGCAGCTAAATAACAGCTAATATGAAGCTGTGCATTTGGTACATCTAAAACCGCAATGTTATACAGATCGGGTGATAGAGATACATCCTAATAAATAAAAAATATGTGATAAAGAAATCAAAACAGATATATAAAATAAATACTGTGGTAAAAAAACAATATGTGGAAGTGGACGAATAAAGTTGTAGGTCAATAAATTAGATCAGAAATCATATGTTGGCAATATCGGCTTCTTAAAAGATATAAGCATTAAATAGTGACAGAAACCGTAGTAGATTTAGTTGCAATATCAACTTTATATATGGAGTTTATATACAATAGATTGAGGTCCAGCTGAGGCTTCTTTTAGGCAAAGGCTTTGTAGTTCTGTGCAAGACATGACATGGGGGGGTCTCTGGATTGGGTATAAAGGTATATTTCTTTGTAGGTTATACTGAGGGGTAGGAGTGAGTTGACCTTTAAAAGTCTGATTTTCAGCACTGTATTGACAGTACCTGCAAATACAGTCCTGCTCTCTCTATGTCTCTCTCTCTCTCTCTACCTCTCATCACAGCTCTCCAGCTATCCATAGATTGCTGGAGAGCTGTGATGAGAGGTCGAGAGAGGGAGAGAGAGACATACAGGGTTATTCACAAAAGGGTGAAGAGTTTGGAGAAGGCAGGAGAAGTGAACAATCTAGGCCAAAATAGCCGATTAGGAAAGATTCTCCAATTCAGCTCACTTTCCAGTTCAGCTATGTTTTGGGGTTTAGATACGCTTTAATCTCTACTTACAGCTGCTAGCTTGCTTTAAACCATGGGTATAAAACACAGCTATCATGTCAGATCATTACTAAGCAAAGATAAAAATCACAACCAGTGTATCTAATAGTAATGGAATATGAAGAAAAACATCAACCCTGTCGTATTATTTAGTTCTGACCTATTGTTATAAGCAAGTTTTATTGTCTATACAGACAAAGGCCTCTGGATACAAAATGCATCAACGTGGCCTTTTTAAAGCTGTAAAATCAGCAGTGATCATTTAATGAAACCACAGAGGATTCAGGGCCAATCTCATGTGGGAGCAAGGAAGTCTGCACAAAAAAATGCAATTTGTAAACTGTATCTATAATTACTTGTTATAAATTAAACTCAAAATTAACACAAAAATAATGTTTCTTTCAAACAAAAATGCAAACACGGGTACCCTATTGCTTGCTAGGGTGCTAGGCAGCTCAAGCCACCTCCATCCTAGCAAGGAACTGGTTTCCTCCTAGCAACGAAGGACACAAGGCAACTCAAGCTGCATACATCCTGGCCAAAAGGACTCTCGGTTGCTTGAGACACCTGCATCCTAGCACAAGATGCTAGGAGGCTTCTGACACCTAACATCCTTTGTTGCTAGGATGCTGGTGGCTCCATTAGAGTGCATTTGTTTTGTAGGCTGTCAACATTAGCACAATCTATTAGATGTGTACAGTGTGATTTATGGTTCATATGCAGAATGTCAGTAGCAGATTTTTCTTCTCCCTTGGTCGTGGACCTCCAACCACCACCAAGGAAAAAGTTGATTGATTCAGTATTGAGGCATTCATTGATGAAATAGTTAAGCTTTTGTAAAAGCTTCTTTCTTTCATTAATGAAAGAATGAAGCCGTTACATACATGTACGGGAGCGCTAAATAGCAATCCCGTATTTGACATCTGAAGAGAGCAGAGAGGTAGCAGAGTGATAGAAAATAACGCCACCAGCACTCCAAGGGTTAATGAAGCAATAGTCGATTTATTAGCACATTGCCATTCAACTACCAGTTGGCGTTATTTTCTATCATATTTCTTCACGGTGCCATCCGTGGCCACTACAAGCACCCACCCGTCCACACCGGTCCGTTTTTCCTCCGGTAAGGAGTGCAGCAAGAACTCTTGATTTCTGAGGTAGCAGAGTGAGTCACATCTCTGCTATAAGTTTTGACAGCTCCTTAGAGCACAATTCAGTTGAATAAAAACCTAGGTTCTGATGAAGGGGGCGTGCCCCAGAAATGCGTAAACCTGCTGCTAACATAGGGACAGAGGACGCTGGTGATACTCATCTCTCCAGACTCTCCCTGCTAGAGGTCCCGACTTCTCATCCTACTCTACTGCTTTTTATTGAACTGAATTGTTGTAAGTACAGCCTTAGAGCTGGTAGATGACTAGGGGAGGATGCTGTCCATAGACTTAACAGGAAGTCGGCGGATATCTTTCCAGTGTGGGCAGAATTTGACAGTTGTCACAACTGTTGTCAACATAGCTTTTTATCCAAAATATCAGGTACATCTACAAAATTAAGGCATGATGGTAAGATTACCAAATACCCCAGACACTGAAGTCATGCAAAAAACTAAATGAAATAAAATGAAATAGATCATAGTCATGATTTAAGCCCTATGTGTGTACCTAGGGTGTGTATCCAGTATACCTCACTTTTTGAGGTAACAAGATCAGTGGGACTCACTGCTGCTGAGTAGCGATGAGCCGAACAGGCCCGAGTTCGGTTCGAATTCGAACTTTAGAGCATCCAAAAAGTTTTCATTCAAACTCGAACTCAATGCAAGTCTATGGGGGGTAGAACTTTCAAAAACAATTGTCTCCTTTAAGAGGGCTTATATGCAAGTTCCCCCTCCCAAACAATACCAGACCCTTTACGTCTGGTAGGTATGTTAGGAGGGACCACATTTTTTTTAAAACTGTGGGGTTCCCCCAAAAGTCATACCAGACCTTAAAGGTCTGGTAGGAATATTGAGGAGGGACCCAAAGAAAAGTGTGTGGGGTTCCCCCTTAAAGTCATACCAGGTCCTTAAGGTCTGGAATTAATTTTAAGTAGGAACCCCCCCCCCCAAAAAGGGGGGGGGGGGGAATGGGGTCCCCCTTAAAATTCCAAACCAGACCCTTGATCCGAGCAAAAGCCTGGCAGGGCCGGTAAGGGGGGACTAGCAAGCCCCCTCCCTCCCATACCAGGCCACATGCCCTCGGCACTGGGAGGGTGGTTTTCCAGGCTTGCCCCTGGAAAAGCACCTTGTCTCCATGCCGATGGGGACAAGGGCCTCTTCCCCACAACCCCCGGGCCTTGGTTGTGGGGGTGCGGGCAGGGGGCGTATTCACATTGGGACACCCCTTTAATAAAGGGGCACCCAAATGCACCCCCTTGTGAATGAGTAAGGGGTACTTATACCCCTACCCATTCACTAAAGGGTTAAATCAAATTTTAGAAAAAATATAGGCCAGACAAAAGACCATATTTTGACAAGTCTTTTATTTTTTAAAAAAAGAACCCAAAAAACTGATTCACCAACATAACCCAGGGGCAATCACAACGTCCAGTGTTGTCCATAATGACTACGACTTGACAAAATGAAAAAGAGAACAAATAAATAGAAATAATTTGAAATAACGACGCCCCCTGACCCGACCGCTCGCAAAAGAAACTCCCGTTGCAGAATGGCATTCTGACAGGTGTCGGCAAAATATAAACACATGGGGAAGAGCTAGCAGAGACATCACCACATGCTCCGCCCAATTGCTTACATGTAATGACAGCCCATCGTCCTCTTTTTTTAACTTGCACTCCTCTGGGTGTTTTTACATGGCTTTACATTTGCACAACAAATTCAATAACAATTCATTAAAATGTAATTACTTACAGTAGACAATCGGTTGTAACAATCAACACCATTAAGCAGTAAGTAGCTGCTGAATAGGGAAATCCAATGCACAATCATTTCAGCACCTGCCACGGTGACATTTCTAACCTTTGCCCACTTGCAGTACTGCAACATCATTTGTAGCATACTATGGGGGTGATTTACTAACCTAAACACACACACGCACCAGGTGCGTGTGCATTTTTACACAGCAAAACGTATTTATCAACCAAACACGAGCAACGTGTCACATTTTCATGCCGTTATGGCGCGTTTTTATGTATTTACGTACGTGTGCGTCATGTAGCATGCGCCATAGGCTACACGCCGCTCTAATAGCGGCATGCAAGTCTCTAAAAGCATATTTTCACTAATGCCATATATGGAAAAATCATGCACATGATGCATATATAATGCTGCTTCACAGTTTAGACAAAAATGGTTAGCTCATGCATTTACATTCCTGCATTCATCAACGCAAGCAACACAACATAGAGCTAATTTACACAACATCACCTTGCAAATTCATGCAGGGCTTTGCACAACACACCTGCTGGGTGTGTACACACTACAAAGGTGTCTAGATTCCACCAATAGATCATGCTGGGAGGGAACACACTACAGAGGTGTATACTTGTTCGTGGCGTGTTTATAAGGTTAGTAAATCAACCCCTATGTGTCAATACCGGAGTCTGGATCCAGCAAGCTATTTATTTTATTCTATACATACGAATGCCTTTTAAAATTTGGGGTTTTTTAATGCCACTAAAAAAAATTAAGGAGCAAAACAAATTAAAAAAAATAAGTTTAACTATTGATGATAAAAAAATAAAATAACTAAGGGTAGAGATGCAGGGTGGTTACAATGCAGCAATAATAACATCACTACATTGTACATCTTATTGACAATGCAGACAAATGCAATTAGAACATGACAGAAGAATAGAAAGAAGAGGCAATACAGGAAAGCTACATGCTGTATCCATAAAAGCCAACAATGAGTAAATATAAAAAACAGCTTAATTTATATGTAATCATTGTTTGGTTCATAAAGAAGATTTCTAACACAGATTTTCTGTATTGCGTCTTTTTCCTTTTGCTTTTCTTTAATATTATTATTATTCAGAATTTATATAGCATCATCAGTTTGCGCAGCGCTTTACAATATAAGTAGAAAAATTACAGTTACAATGCAAATCAATACACGATGGTAAGGAGGGCCCTGCCTGTGAGAGCTTACCATCTAAAATGGAGGAGCAAGTGATACAAGAGACGGTAGCTGTGTGGGGATGAGTTGTTTGAGAAAGTGATAGTTCAGTGGTTAGGTTGAGGCGATATAGGCTTCCCAGAAGAGATGAGTATTAATGGATTGCCTAAAGGCAGACAGAGTAGGAGAAAGGTTCGGTTAGGGAGTTCTAAAGGACGGGAGAGACTCTAAAGCCTGGAGGCAAACATGGGAGGAGCTGACGATGGAGCTGGAAAGCAGGAGGTCTTGGGATGAGTGGAGGGGACGGTTAGGGTGTTACTTTCAGATGAGGTTGGAGATATAGCCGGGGGCAGAGTTGTGGATGGCTTTGTAAGTGGTTGTTATTGTTTTGAATTTTATCCTTTTATATTATTGCATCTAGGTTTGTAAATCATTGAAAAATGCTGTAATTATCATCCAGGTCTGAGTGTTTGCTTTTCATATCCTATTTTGATAAATGTAGACATTTTGATAGCAGGGACTTGCCGGTGGTCAGTAAGATGAGGGGGAGGAGCAGGGCATACCTGACATGCCTGAAGTAGTAAGATGAAGTTTTTCAGGTTGTGTGTATGTGTGGTACACCCAATTTACATGATTAGTTAATTTCCTTTAATTGGGGACATTTTTAAGATAATTTTGCTCAAGGCAAGTTTTATTTCTTTATTCCGCAGACTGTAAATAATTGGGTTGAATAATGGAGTTATGACTGTGTTTAAAAGAGATAAAACTTTGTTAAGTGTTTTTAATTGTCCTCTTGTTGGTGCCACATAGAGCACAATGAGCGTCCCATAATAGGTAGAAACCACTGCCAAATGAGAGCTACAGGTTGAAAAGATCTTCTGACGGCCGGTGATGGAAGAGATTCGAAGGATGGATGTGAAGATACAAATATAACTGACAATGACGAAGAGTAACTGAGAGATTCCAATTATAAAGACTGTGATAGTGGTACAAATGTCAACCAGTTTAGTGTCAGAGCAGGAAAGCTCTAGAAGAAGAGTAAGATCACAGAAAAAGTGGTCAATAATATTTGGACCACAAAAGTCCAACAAGGTTATCAAAATCTCTATGATCATAGAGGTAAAAAAACCAACCAACCAGCATATTGTAGCCAAATACCGAGGAAGACTGCGTTTCATGGTAGATGAGTAGTGCAGGGGGTCACAAATGGCCAAATATCTATCATAAGACATGACGGACAACAGGCTACATTCTGTAGCAACAAAGGCACCAAAAAAGTACAACTGTGTGTAACATGATGACACTGATATGTGACATCTCTCTGTAACAAGGAACTGAAGAGTTTTTGGTACCACATTTGTGCTGATCAGGATATCACATAGAGACAGGTGGGAGAGGAAAAAGTACATGGGAGACCACAGCTGCCGAGTAATTGCCACTAATGTAACAATGAGAAGGTTTCCAAGTATGGTGCCCACATAAATAAGAAGCAGGAGAGATAATAGCAGACTTTTGATATTATGAAGCTCTGTAAATCCCAAAAGTATGAATTCTGTTACCATAGTGTGGTTATCCTTTGTCATTTCCTGGAGATAAAATGTATTGGAGACGGCAACCCGCAGATGCTGCAGTGCTGTCCGTCCGTTTTTTTACTACGGGCGGACGGCAAGAGGTTAAAGTTTATATAAACTGAAGATCAAAACTGTAATAAATTGAAGCTTGGTATCCCTTATATGTGGCAGCTGTGTCCATGGCTTTTTTCCAAATACTTTAAACTGGTTTTCATGCTAGTGAAACACTTCCTGTCCTAGGGTGACAAAGCTAACTTAACATGCCATAACTATAGAGAAGGAGAGTTGTCACCCTAGGATAGGATTAGTGTTCTGTAGTCCAAATAAATAGCTGGGGAAAAAAACTAATAACAATTTAACACAGGAAGAGAGCACAAGAAGTAAGCAATTTATTAGATTTATGGCAGGATCAACCACACTTTATTTTTTGTACTTACTGAACAGATAAGACAAAAAACTTTGAACGGTAGGAGACCAAACAGGACCAAACAACAGATTTATTGTTAGGGTTTGCATATACTTTACATTCATATTTTATCTGAAACTTGCTGAAAATGGTATCTGCTAATTTTTTTACTACCCTGTATATTTGCTTACTTGTTGTTTGCTTTCAAGGAATCTATTTCCAAAATTAATTCTTATGAGAAATCCCCTTTTTTTCTGAGAAGAAAGAAAGAAGGAAAGAAAGAAGGAAAGAAGGAAAGAAGGAAAGAAAGAAAGAAACAAAGAAAGAAAGAAAGAAAGAAAGAACGAAAGAAAGAAAGAAAGAAAGAAAGAAAGAACGAAAGAAAGAAAGAAAGAAAGAAAGAAAGAAAGAAAGAAAGAACGAACGAAAGAAAGAAAGAAAGAAAGAAAGAAAGAATTATAACAATAAATGAGAAAAATCATACAATACCTTAAAAATCTGAGCCAAGTCTCAGATAACAATAAAGTAACATTTTATAGCCAAATGCACCCGGCCTACAGACCTTGTTTGTACGAAGGTTTCAGCAAGGTTAATTATAGGTAAACAAAATAAATTCCACTGAAAGGGCCAGGAGACACAAAAAATATACTGAAAAATGTAATTGCTTTTAAAAAAAATATATGAGCAGAGTTAATGTAACAAAATAATATAAATACATGCAATTGCCGGGAGCAATAATTTTTAACCTTCAACGAACATTTCTCATGTTGTTGCCCCTTATGTAATGAAGCTGAATCACTAAAGATGTTGAAATTCTTTACTTTATATATTCTGTGAAGATTTGCTTTAATTATCCAATCATGTGAAAAGCTAATTCTTGTTTCTTTATTTCATCTGCACAAGTGCATTTAGGTTTAGTGGTCTTCAAATCTAAAAAAAACAACAAATATTGAGAAACAAATATCATTAGGACCAAGAAACATGTTTAGTAGCTCCAACAAGAATATAATTTAAAGGAAACCTGTAGTAAAAGATGTGAGTAAGTTGGCTTCTCCTTCTAAAACTGCTATCTGTATTTTATGCTGCTCCACTGTCTTTCATATTTTCTAGGTCATTTACTTAAAATTCTGAAGCTTCATGCTTGTTCTATATGTACGTATATAGAAAGGTGGAAGACACCTTTGTTTTCACTGGGAAATCGATGGACATGTGTCTTTTTATATATGTACGTAGGGGAATTTACCTATACTGGAGCAGACAAAATATGGAGCATCTACCCTGTTTCCCCCGAAAATAAGACCTAGTACTATTTTTGGGAATTGCTAAAATATAAGACCTACCCCAAAAATATGACCTAGTTGTGACCATTCCCAGGGCCGGTGGTGGCCTAAGGGGGAACTTGAAGAGCTGCGGAAGTGGCAGGAGAGAATCAGTGGTGCCAACGAAGCCAGCGCTAGAGGAAGCGAGGCGGCAGCGGAGGGAGCAGAGCCACATAAGCCGATGCCTCCTCTATAGCGCCGGCTCCTGTCACAGGCGGAGTGATACCAAATGCACTCCACCTGTGAGGAATCGATAGTGAAAGTATGCTTCACTTATTCTGGCCAGCGATTGGTTAGCAAATTGTTCTTAGAAAGATACGGCACCCCCTAGAAAAAGTACGGCACCCCTGATTGCCCTGATCACCATATTTTTGTACATGAATACATGTAGACTGTTGTACATGAATAAGTGTGGATTGAAGTGTTGTGCATAAAAATAAATAAATAAGGCCTATTACGAAAATAAGACCTAGTGTGTTTTTTTGAGCCCCCCAAAAAATAAGACAGTGTCTTATTTTCGGGGAAACACGATATGTATGGCAACCAATCAGCATTCACCATTCATTATCAAAGCTCAACTGAACAAACTGAAGAGAGAAGCTGATTAGTTGCCATAGGCAACTGCTCCAGATTTTTCTGCTCCAGTTTCGATAAATCCCCCATCGTCTTTAAATTCAACCCCAAAAAAAAACGAAAACCCAGAGTTAATCCAAAGAAAGGAAAAAAAACCCTTATAAAGTGATGTCTCATTTGTTCCAACATGAAAAAAAAATCCTGCCTGATTTCTAAAGGCATTTGGATAATTCCCTGGATCAACCCTGTACAATATTATTCCTTCAGAGTGTTAGTAGCCATTCGTATTTTGTACCCTTAGAAACACATTCAGCCTGTTTTTGAAACAGTTTATTGAGTTGACTAAAACCAACTCATGTGGTGGACCTTTTTTTTTTAATTTTTAGAGATCGTAAAATATCACTTACAAGGACACAGATCTTATAAAACACAATCCATATGCAAAGTTTAACTTATTTTTCTCCGCTTAAAAAGTGTGCCCCTCCACATATATTCATGTGAACTTAAACTGAACACCTTTCTAGTTAATTTACTATATGGACAATTGAAATGGGTAAGCTGTAAATCCTGTCAATATGTAAAGTCTTTATTAATAAATAAGAAACCCAGTTACATTGATATTCTAATAAAAACCTTGAGTGAAAGAATAAAACCAACAAAGAAACAAAAGCATAATTTTAGTCTCAAAGATCCCAGATAGAATAAAGTAGGTTGTACATTTTTCATTGCATTTGTTTAGTCATAAAGTTATAAATATTTGATTGTGTTAGAAAGAAATGAAATAATCTCTATAGTCCCAGTGAATCACGGAGATAGTCATGTTCAGGTCGAATACTATGTGATATGTATGATAAATGTACATGAACCTTTTTATATTGTTTTCTCAGCTTTATATTTATTTACAAATATTTTAGTCATGGGACCCGGAAGATTGTTAATATAAAAAAAATCTCTAAAGAGAACTCTTGCTTTCATGATGAATTGGCCACATGAGAGATAAAGAAGTATTTGCAACATTCAAAATGGCTCTTTGAATTGATATTGTTTTGCCTATATGAGATACAACGATATGACTGTAGCTAAGATCGGGCTGAATATATTTCAAATATAAGCATAAATTGTAATTTTGTCTTTTATATCAGATTTGATGATTTATGATTTTGTTCTTATATTCCCTAAAGTGACCCGTGCCATTCCACTTTGTACCTAAGCTAAAAGTACCTGTACATAGAGGCTGTTGGTTTTTTTCACTTTACTTTGATTTATTTTCTTTTACTCTCTTTATATTTCTCCCTTGGCTTGAAGTTTTTTTCAAACCTCAGCCAATGGAAAAAAAAAATCAACCAATCACAAAAGAAGGGATGATGTCCTTGTATGTAAACTACAAAGATACAAAGTATTTGAAAAAAATAAAACCAAAATATTAGAGTTTTGAAGGTAAAGTGGATTTTTACACAGCATGTTCACAGATTGATAGAGAACTGCAGCATGAGAGAAGAAAGTATACCAAGCCTACAACATCCTCTTTGCACAGGTACTGCTAGATGAATAAGAAAAAGGAATTGTTTAGGTTACTTTAATATCTGTATGTAGATTTGTCTAATCTGGATAGAACGAAACTTTTAAAGTGTATGTCCGGATAAGATTTTGTCCTCACTTCCTGTCTCATAGTTACACAGTTACATACTTAGTTAGGTTGAAAAAGACACATGTCCATCGATTTCCCAGTGAAAACAAAGTGAGGGAAAGCAACAGGGACACGGACAGCAATAAAAAGCTGCTGAGGGTTCCAGTCTGCCCATACTCTACTCTAAAACTTTTTTGTCTGTTTTGGAGATTTACCTTCACTTCCTGGCTAACACAGATTGTAACCCTTCTTCTATCCGAAAACAAACAAAACGTTTTGGATGCACCTACTGTTAATATAGATAGCCATTAAAGTATTGTTTCTATACTACAAATTTGAGTCTCAGATGCTTTTTAAAAATGGCAGAGGGACAGTAGCTATTCATTAAAATGGCGCCTGGAGTTAGGGGATCCTCAGGGTCCCAGGGGGCATGTCGGTAGGGACTTCAGTCAACTGGCATATAGGCTGAAACTGCTGGCTGTCAGTGACAGCAGGCATGAAGTACTAGGCTTCAGATCTTGCTACACAGTGCCACAAAGAAGTTCTTGTAACAGGTTACTGTAAACATAATGCTTCTGCATTGTATTTGCATTTGAAGTGATGTGACATCACATACACAGTTACATATTTAGTCAGGTTGAAAAAAGACACAAGTCCATTGAGTTCAACTTATAGAGAAAAAAATAAACGGTTAAACAAACTCCATAGTCAGTACCTTATGCCCACGAGTGATGTCACAGCACATTCTCTGAGTATGCACGCTCAAGCAGAGCTGTTGCTGCTCTCTCCAGTGGCTCCTTGCAGCAAGCGGTCACTGTGATAGCGATATATTAAATACTGCAGAGCTGCATGGGAGGTCAGAATTAGGTTTTATCTGACCAGATCCAGAACCCCCATCAAAAAATTTACTATACAGTATATACGCTGCCTTGCCAAAAATAAAAAAAATAGGTCACACACTCTAATATTTTTTTGGACCTCCTTTAGCTTTGTTTAAGGCACACATTCGTGATTGCATCACTTCAATAAGCGTATGCAATGTCACAACATTTATTTTCATCCAGAGTCAAATTCATTTTTCACCAAT